TATTTGTGACTGCCTCTGTGATCTAGTGGATGTAGTGTCTGCTCAGAGATCACTGATATGATGGCTGCTGTACCAAAAGATGTTAAGAGATACACATGAAGCTCAGTTTGAACTGATCCTTAGCAACTGTTTCTTGTAATTGTACGCGACAAATGTCATCGTGGAGCGGGCATGCTGACTATTGATTGTTATTGTATTTGTTTCATAGATCGATGCTTCAGATGTCAATCACTGGATTGTCTGGTCAAGACTTGATTCTTTTACATCACATAATCATTAGACTTCTTGTTTCCTTGCCTTTTGCTTTTACTGGTTCTTGAAGAGTTCCTGTTGTTATACACATGTTATTACATCTTTGTAGGTGATGTTATTGATTGTTGTATTGCGATACAGGAGCATCATATCCAGATATTTATTGCCCTATCTTTACAATACTGTAATACTGTTGTTGAAACTGACCCACAGTACTGTTCCTTCCCAGACATGCAGCCCTTGAGACAGAGGCACTGAGGGCAGCTGAGATTGCTGCACTCCCCCCACCACCAGCCGACCCCTGGGAGGAGGCACTGCAGGCTAAACGTACGTGACACAGTCGTGAAACTGAATATATTTTTAATCTCTATACTCCTCCTTCTCCTCCTCCTCCTCACTTTCATCGTTGTTATCAATTTGTTGCCATTTTGTCCATTTATGTTTTGTCTCTGTCCTTGTGGTTCTCCCCTGTGAGTGCTGTAATTCAAAGAGTTACTTCCCTTTCTTGCATGTCAAGGGCCTCACTTAAACTGTCTGGAACAAGTTATGGGAAAATGTCTGGCCTCATGAATTATGCTGGTCAGATGAAAAGCATTAGAATAAACTCCTGCTGGATCTTGTTGTGTGAGGCCTCAGTGAAATATGGGTTTACTTTCAGCTTGGAGATACTGAAATTGACACATCTCCAAATTTGTTGGATATTCAGGCTGGACAGTTTGTATTAGGACAGTTTTTCATCTTGTTTCAGCCAAAGCTGTGCCGATGACGGACATGAACGCATTCTCCACGACACACTATCACATACCAGATTACGCTGTTGTCAAGGCCGCGCCTCAAGAACAGGTATTCTGTTTATATCAGGCCTCATTCGAGAATTGAAGTCTGTCTTAAAAAGCCTTGACTCTAGATTCTGCCTTGAAATTATTTTGAAAATTAATTCTATGCCTTTAATTTTGCATATTAATCCGCATTTCAAGTAAATAAAACATGAAATTGCATAATGGGTCTTTATGTTGTCTGAGAGCGATTGAAGACTTGGAGCAAAATGGCCTGTACACAATGTGTGTTCTGACCCTATAGATTGACCCCCTTTCAGATGATCACATGGCTCCATTATGCTTCAATATCTGTGAACACATTGAAAGGAATGTTCCCACAGGCTTTCAATTTTTGAGGGGGGGAAATATCAGAAATATTAGATTTTGTGAATTGTGTTTGAAACTGACTCAATTTGGTCAAATGCCAATTCTCTCAGCTGTTTCAGTCTGTTTCATTCATTCTACTTTATAAATATGTGAGGACTCCCGTTAGATTCTGTTAAACCAAAAAAACTCAAGATTGTGTGAAATGTATTCCTGTAAATATGTAGAAAATGAGTACCACATTTTACTGATTTGTACTGCCTATGATGATCTATGTAAATGTTTTACCCCTGTCGATGCTTTCACCCTTCCAACCTTGTGTAAATTTAATCGACTGATGAGTAATGCTACTCCTCATGTTTTAAGAAATCTTGCCATGTTCATCTTCTATGCTAACAATCGTCGTCGCTACAGCTTGAAGGCTGCCAATGTATAACGTTGTACCATGGGCCGATGGCCTACATTCACATGAATAAAGACTATAACATGATAAGATAAGATTCTCATTTCCCATGGCCTGTCATGATGTTATAGGATGTGATTTGATTGGAGTTTGTAGTCAGGATTGTGACTTGGTTAACTGAATGACACAGGGTACCTGATAGCGTTATAGTGTGGATGTTTACCGACACTGACTTTTGACAGACAGCTATTTCTGACTTCATTGCTAATCAGCACCCTGTCAGTCAAATATGATCAAGACGGACTTGGGAACATGATATGAATTTTCTTGATCCTGAATTACAATCATTTAGTTCCGACTTGCAGGATGACTGAGTATGTTCACATGGAAGTACTGAGATGAAGTGTGAGTTATGCCCTCTGTTGTTGATGATGTTGCAGACAGATGCCCGTCATGCTGCGGAAGAAGAAGACTTCAGACTCAAGCTTGAGTTGAAGGAGAAACGTCACACAGACCAGGACAGGATTGTCAGGGCTCGTATCCGTGGAAATGAAGCTCTGCGGAAAGAGCACCTGAGACATGTAAGTAATTCAGAACTAAACGAGACTTGTATGTGGTAAACCAATGCAGGCTGATAGCTCTCTCTCACTCTCCACCCCTACACACTCTCCCACTCACTCTCTCACCCTCTCACTCACCCCACCTTTCTCCACTACCAGCCAGAACCACTCACTCATTCACCCCACCCCCACCCCACCCCCGTCACTCAACCTCCCGTCCACTCCACTCACTCACCCTCTCAACCCTCATGCCCCCAGCCACACCCACTCAATCATCCACTCACTCATTCAATCTCATACTCACCCCTTTTCTCACCCCTTTAACTTGACTTAGGCTGTGACTATGAGGATGTCATCTTGTTGCATTTCTATGGCAACAAGTTAGGCTTCAACTGAATTTGGTGGTAGTGTTCCTTTCTGGAGCAGATCTTAAAAATCTTTCAGTGCTCTCCTTTCACTTTGCCATGTACACACCAACACATTTGACATAATCATAACAAGTAGACCGCCTCCGTGGTGTAGTGCTTAGAGCGTCCGCCCGGAGAGCGGCAGGTCGCGGGTTCGATCCCTGAGTGCGCCATACCAAAAGACGTTAAAATATGGTACTTGTTGGTCCTTGCCTGGCGCTCGGCATTAATGGGTACATCAAGGACTGGTCGGCTCGGTGTCAGAATGATGTGTCTGAGTTGGGTATTCATGCTTCACTGCGGCGTGGTATCTCAGTGGGCTAGCACTATAAAACCAGCTTAAGTCTGGGCTAGTACAAGCAGCCGCACCTACACATACACACACATCCACATCGTCATATGAGCGAAATATTCTCAAGCACGACATTAAACCCAATTTCACTGCAGTCTTTTCATTGCATGATGTCATTGTTACAATGTTTAAAATTGTTTTCGAAGTAGTTTCACTCACTGAAGTAGATTTTGTAACTGGGCACTGTTTGTATTTCAGTCAACTACCCAAGTTATATGATGCTTATGTTTTACCACCATGTTTGTCTTCAATAACAAAGTGACACATCGGAAACCTCTTGGATCATGACACCAAGTCTTTTGAATGATAAGTTTCGTTAACAAGATAGGCCATTATGTGATTCAGTACAACATCTTGTTTCAGGAGTACAGTAACATGCTTCAAGACCTGAGCCTTCTGCAGAGAGCTGACCGCCGACGGAGACAGGAGGAAGTTGCTGATCTGCCAGTAGGTTTTAGTGGACGACATAAAAAGCCACAACGGTGATGTTTTGTATCATCATTGTTGTCCCTGTTTCCATCGGACAAGTGTCACTTGTTCAACAGTTCTAACAAACTATCGGCCCAAAGATTGGCATTTGTTTTCGATAAATCAATCATTATAAATTGTCATTGTCGGCTCCAGCTCCACTACTTTGTGTGCCAACAGTGTTATACCCTGTGGAAGTGGATCTTTGCAGAGTAGAGCTGAATGTTGTATTTCTGTTACAGAAGCAGGTGTTTCTGCCGCCAGACCGACGCCAGGAAGATAAGGAAAACAAGCAGAGGGACATGGAGAAAGCCTTTGAGGATATGTACTTGGCCGACCAACGTGAGTCATAGCCAGCCTTGAAATGACGACATCTAGCTAACTTATCTCTGGGATGACACGTATCTTAATTGGCATGACATTGTATTGGTAGATTCGTCTAAGTATAGGGAATGGGGATGCTTTGACATACAGGACCATTTGTAAACTAGGGAGGAATGAGCCCAGGTTCTCTGAAGTGTTTCTTCAGTCTTTTGTTTCTTTCAGATCCACCGGTGCTTATGTCGCTCGACACTCAGACACCCCCAGACACACCAAACAGTACCGAGTCACATGATCCATCCCAGCAACCCACCACTCTGTCGCTACGGCAACCATCCACTGATGTCACAGCTCTCAAAGATGTCACCAATGTCACTATCTCAGATCAGACAGCCAAGCTCAAGAAAAATGGTAAGGAACTATGATTAGAAAGGTTATTATGGTTGCCACCATCACTGGGCTATAGGTTCTTAAACATTTCCCACTGGTTGACATTATATATCAGGGCTCCAGATAAGGGCCGTATCGGCATATGTACGGATAAAAAATATGCACGATACAGTAGGAAATAATTTAGAAAACGTAGCAGATACGCACCACAGCAATGGTGTACGGTCTTAGAATCTTTTACAGACATATTTATCTGAAAAAAGTAATATTGTTTTATTGTTTATTGACCTGTTTACAAAAGAGTAGCAATATTGTGGTGCGTATATGAAACGAAACACAAGATTACTGATAGTCCATTAATTTCCATTCAGTACTCTAAATGTACACTTAAGGTTTTCCAGTACTCCTATATTGAACAAATAAGGAGTACGTACTCTGACGTTGAAAAATTATCTGGAGCCCTGATATATGATGGGCCCAGAGGTGAACACCGACCACAACAGTTTATAGGAGAGGAATGAGGAAGATTACTCTGTCATCTCAATGCCCGTTTGGTACCTAGATACTTGCTTTAGGTAATATGGAGATGTAACACTCTGAATAATCCCGAATATTGTAGAGATGTGAGTCAGTGGATTTTCCATATTAGTAACGATGTCCTTTCCAGTCAGAGTTTGTGTTACAGATGGTGCGCTCATGAAGTTGTTCAACCGTATTAAAGAACAAAAGGATGAGCATGCCAGCCGCTCGGCCATTGAGACCAGTCAGATAGTTGGTGAGACTGTCAAGCCTGGTGTTCCTCAACCTCCAGCTCAGCTTGCAAATGGTGAGTGATGCTTCGTCAAAGTCATATGGCTGTGTAAAGCATGTAAGCTTGCTTGCTGATACACTGCCCTGTCATATTGAAGGCCAATTTTCCATTCCTTCATATGCAAATAGTGTCTCTCAGTAGCCCTGTAGCTAAGTCAGGTAAGTATCCATAATTTCTAAACTGGACCTCTGAAATTTGCTTTATTAATTTCATCAGTTCAGAGGAATTAGTTAAAACTTCTTCATAATATTTGTGTTATCAGTGTAATACAGGTTGTATTCAGATATCTGTGATGTCTCATTATGGAGTTAATCATGGTGTTTCTCAATATGGAGTTAATTGTGTAGACAGCATGTTCATGTTACAGATTGCCATTGCTGACTAGTTACCCTAGTGTTGAAGGCCTTCATATATCAATACATCAAAGGCCTGGGTTCATTTTTCAACATGGATACAATAAGTGAAGCCATCTGTCTAGTGTCTTTTAGCTGTATCTGTTTAAAACCTCACTCGCTCGCTCGCTGTCATACTCGCTCACTCTCTCATTCACTCACTCACTCACTCAACTCAAACTCACTCATTCTTTCAGGTCTCTCCCCACTGTCAGAGTACTCTGCCCTGGAGACCTGCTCCCCTGCCATCCACTACTGTTCAAGGCCACAGTCCAACCTCAAGGACTTATGCTCCCCAACAGGTCCACATTGTGGTCAGGTCACCTCGAGATCAATTTCAAGACACTCAGGTAAAATGAAAATAACAGGGATACTTACGTTATATTGTTATATACTTATGTTATGTTATATTGAAAGCCTAATACAGCCTATGCTGGTATTGACTCCCTCGTATAATTCATGTTAATATTGAAAGCTTAATACAACCTGTGCTGGTGTTGACTCCCTTTCAGACAGATGCAGGTCCTCCATTGCAGACAGACAAGGAGAGAAAGGCCTGGCAAGACAAGATCGTCAAGTTAGAGTAAGTTCTCTAGCCCTCTGTACCTTCAAGATGCTTCAGATAGTCCAACCATGTTCCCCATGACCTACATAGGTTAGACATGGTGACTTGGACTATGTCATTGTTGTCAAGTTAGAGTAAGTTCTGTAGCATTCTGTACCTTCAAGATTCTTCTAACAACACACAGGGCAATATTGCAGCTATAGGTGATCTGTCTGTACACAATCTAATCTGAACTACTCTAAAACCAAACTATAAGCTCACTTAACTGCACCTACAGGTATCCTTTTTCTTTTGCAGAGAAAAGCAGAAGGAGCTTGATGGACTGATCAACAAATTCAAACAGATCTCAGGGATTAATGAGAACACTGAAGTTCCCACAGGGCCACAACCATCAACTATCCCCCCAACACAAGTGCAGTTTCATGTTGACCAACTAATGTCTCAACATGGGATCAGCAAATTTACCACAAACCAGGCCACTTCTGGTGCACCACATCTCGTCCCAGATCATCAGAGAGATCATAGAAATGAGACATTGGCATCACATCGGTTTGGTTCTGGAGGTCAAGCCATCCCCAATGGTGTCTTTCATGCTGTGCCAGTTCAGATAGATGGAAAGGGATTTGGTGTAGGGGAGAGTGGCTACTACTCTGGTATTCCAGGTGCTACCTTTCGTGGGTACCAAGGGTTGAGGGCTGGTGGTGTTACTACTGGCTCCACACAAGGGTCAAGTCTGAGTGCCCGAAACATGGCTACTCACTCCCTTGGCCTGGCTCAGCAGGCTGACCATGTAAGGAAGGTTAGGGAATATCAGCAGAAGATCATCGAGTCAAGTCAGAGAGATCTGTCTCTGTCTCAGACAGGATTGCGTTCAGGGTTGTCGTCCACTTTTGGCACCAGCACTAATTCAGATTTGGATAGCAAAGTGAAGGAATACCAGAAGAAAATTCTCGTGGGGAATGCTGAGAGAAGGAACTTTCTGGAGGAAACCAGAGCTAATATTGAAAGACAGCGAGAAGAGCTATACAGAAAGTATCCACTGACAATGGGAAGGACTGACACTTTCAAGGGGACATCTACTCTGGCATCAAGTTCACTAGATACCAGGTCTCAAGATGGATCTTTGCATGACTCTCTTGCTGACAGAATTTTAGCTGATATACGTGATCCTTTGCGACCAAGAAGTCTTGACACGGGCGACATTCTGGTACATGATGTGTTAAGGCATGACTTCCAAGACAATAGCAGGAACTTGTCCCAAATGTCAGCTAACACGTCAAAATCTAAACTTGAAAGAGTGAAGAAGTCATTATTATTTGAGGATCCAGATGAATCACTGACCAGAACTCCAGGAAGGGATATATCCCTTCTGGCACCATCTGACCTTGATGAAGGTGACATCACTCTAACGTCTTCCTCTGAACGTGGAAGTCCAAATCTAAGCAAGTCTGTGAGGTCAGATGGATCAACAGGAGGCATGTCCTTGATATCAAGAGCCAGAGAAACGGGGAACGAGTTTGACAGGCGACAGCAGGAGCTAAAGAAACAGTTAGAAGAAGTGCAGAGACAGAAACAGGAGATTCTGGAGAGATACCAGCTGGGGCAACAGAGAATACAGGATTCAAAGACAAACCTGAATTCTAAGCTGGACACTTCTGGCTTTTCCCAAGACATGTCAAGAACATGGAAGTCATCTTTCAGTGGTCCTGACTCATCCTATGCATCCTTGCCAACAGATGGAAACATCCGTCCTGCCCCAAGAGCAGCCTTTGTTGATTCACAAAGAGACTCAGCAGCATCAATCCTGTATGGTTCAGCATCCACTGACCAAGTCCTTCCTTCAGCTTTGAGAGAATTTTCTATTTCCTCTGATTTCCCTAAAACATTCGAACGTTTTAATCTTATGGACTCCACACCTACTGCAGGTGCTTCTCTTGGAGCAAAGTTAGACAGCCTTTCTTCTCTGACAGAGAAGCCATTGACAGATCAGTCGAAGTTGTTCTCAATGGAACTGGAAGAGGAATCCTTGGTGTCTGGAAGTAGGTCTCCTCCTGTAGCTTTACCAGACCGATTATTTGATGCAGGATCCCTATCCCTGGAAGAGGAGTCCTTATCCCCAGAGAGTAAGGTCAGCATGACAGGTTCTGAATCTGCCAATGACAAGATAACATGGTCCAATTTGCTGACAGGGGTTCCTGGTGTGTCACCTGATGAGAATGATGCAGCCAAGTCCGGTGAGATAGCCACAGACTACATAGGACATGAACTGAGCACTATCTTTGAGGTGGACACACCCAATACACAAGGAACCAGGCAGTCTGGACAGTTTGTGACATTGAGCTCAGCGAGGTCTTAGAACATTGCAAGTCATGGACAACATGAGACATAAGATGGGCACTATTCTGACTTGAGCACCTGATATATGTAGGCGAAAAGAAGTCTATACAGTCTGGAACATAATTTCTTAATTGAAGAATTAATATATAATATTGGTCATGGTGTACACAACTTGGTATTATGGCAACATGTATGCCCTGTGGATGCTATACTGTATCGTGTCAGTTTAGAACACCAGTCCAGACTCATTTAATGCATGAACCATTTATTGTTACCTTAAGGTATTATAAGCTAGTTTGGTGACTGATGAAAGTCGTCATTATGTATGTGCTGGTTATCTGGATAGCTCACCTGATGGTAGCGTAACCAAATATGATGCAGATTAATTGTGTGAAGTTTCATGAAGAAATGCCTTTCTGGATTACAGTGAATCTCTGTGGTTACAGTGTTGGGGTTTGGTTCTGGGAACATCAGGTTTTAGAAATTTTAGAATGAAAACATGGTTCTTAGGGAGATGCTTTGAAAAATGAACTTCAGAAACTCTATGAATTAAAACTATGCAAAAGAACTGATCAGAGTATTTCGGTTGGAAAAAATTTAAAGAATTTAACTAAACACCTATTCTGACAATGAGGGTCTCAAACTTGTACATATATAAAATCTGTGATATGACGAATTGTAGACATAATTTCCGGGAGGTCGACTGAAAACAACAGTATCTTCCAAGTCAGTTTTGTATTAGTTTTCTGTACAGTTAATGCATCTAGTTGTGATATTTTTAATGTGTGATGTAAATATGAAGCTAAATAAATTCAGAAATAAATGTATTGGGTTGGTTGAATTTTAACTGTAGTGGAATTATGGAAACTTCTTATGAAAACTTGTAATCATAGGCAGGTCGGATCTGGCACATTGTATCAACAAATTTACACCAGCCACTGTCTGGCACTTGTGTACTTGTAACTATACAGCTGGACATTTTGAACAATGATGATTCACGAATCGCCATACATTCTGCAAAACGTGTCAAGTTATGATTGTTCAGGAAGCTACATACTATACAAATACCTTGCGATGACAATATGTGTTAATCAAAATCAATGTGCAAAAGTAAACGTTCCCAGGGCAGCGACGAAGTTAAAACATACTTATCTTTGATGGTTGGTTCCACCGATGCCGTGTTTATTCCAATACGTATGTTTTATATGTATTTCTATAAAGCCTTAAAGTTGTTGATTGTGCCTTGAAAAGGCCCTAAATGGTACTAAATGTGATGGCTGCTAATCTGTACAAACCCTGCTGGATACCCAGGGTGACACTAACTGTCATACAGCTCATCTTGATGTAGTTTGAGTTCAGCCATGCACATTATCCTGTATATAGTCTAAATATCTTTCCAGAATTTTCCAACAATGCTGAATTATTGGTCGCGATAAGTATGTTCTGGTTTTGTAAAAATATGCAACAGAGAGGAATAAGCTGCTGAATGCTGTGGGTTAAGGGCACAATGTCACACATTTTCGACAATATTTTGCGTATATTATACTAGCAGCCTTAAGCTGGTTTTATAGTGCTAGCCCACTGAGATACCATGCCGCAGTGAAGCATGAATACCCCACTCAGACACATTATACGGACTCAAAGCCGACCAGTCCTTGTTGTACTCATGAATGCTGAGCGCCAGGCAGAGACCAACAAGTGCCATATTTTAACGTCTTTTGGTATGACGCGGTCGGGGATCGAACCCGCGACCTTCCGCTCTCCAGGCGGACGTTCTAACCACTACACCACGGAGGCGGTCACACCGTCGACGAACGGAAGTCGTTATTGTCAATGACAGGTTTACGTTACCGAAACGAAATTATTGAACGTCACGGTGGACGAAAGATAGGCAGTTTAAGAAGATAATAAAGATGTCTGTTTTTTATTGGGAATAATGGTCCAAAGGAAAATGTTGACTTTAATCTCATCACAGAATCGAGTGGCCAATGTTTCCTGAAATGTCAGAGTTCTGGTTATATGGTTTCCATGTTAGCGAGTGAGTTTAGTATACGCCGCACTTATCAATATTCCATATGACGGCGGTCTGTAAACTATCGAATCTGGACCAGACAATCCAATGATCAACATCATAAGCATCGATCTGCTCAATTGGGATACGATGACATGTGTCAACCCAGTCAGCGAGCTTGACCACCCGATCAGGTTAGAAGTCTCTTACGACAAGCATAGGTTACTGAATAACAATTCTAACCAGGATCTTCACGGGGTGTCGGACACATTTGGGGGCAATGACCAAGGACAAATGCCAGGAAATAATTCAAGAGTCGGAAATAACCAAGAGTGTTCATACTAGAGTAGAACTTCCGAAGAAAGTCTAAAAAACCCTGTTTTGCTTGATTTATAGTTCACTTGCATAAAGCCAAGTCAGATTATGTCGTAACGTCTCTGTGTCCATCACTCGCCATGGTCGTTGGTCTCACCAAAATGTTAAACGTATATGTAGACAGCTTCACTTCGGGCTTTCTTCCTTCAGCTGACATACCGTGGTATAACTTGAGTACTGTTCACAATCAAACTGACTCACTCACTGTGACATCATAGACATTCCCTTAGCATAAGGTTGTGTTAACCTTTGCAGGAATGTTTGACGACACTGAAGAAAAGTGATTTAATAGACACAAATTCCAATTGGCATCATTCAAAGTTGTTGATACGAAATACATCAATATATGATCAGCTCGAAAACATTAGTATACATTCCACGAGCGTGATAATGACATTTTTAATTTGTCAATAATCATGAAGTTATGGATTGGTAATCTGTCCACACATTCACTACGTTGGAGACATTCGAGTATTGAGCTATCACAAGTGGACATTTACTCAACGAGAATTTCAGCAATTGCAGTTTTGTGTAAAACAATTGATACGTAATAGCTACATGGTGTTCATAATGAAGGAAACCACAAAGTTTAGGACTCCCTAACACTGTCATGTCGTCACACTATGTGATTCCGATTTTCTACACCAGTTCAATGTAACACGATATATCTTTCCGAATATATTGACCAGGAAATCGTATGTAACCTTAGAACTAAGTAACTGCTTTTTCAGGATATATACCCCTCTCGGGATAATATAGATATATTGAATGACAAAAACTTAATACTAACGGTACTCTGATGTACAATATCAATGAACTGTTTACAATCGTACTTGCATCTAAAGGTTGTCTGGAAACTGCTTTTTTCATGATTAACCACCACCACCCCACCCCGAAAACTATTTGATATTTAAGAAGTATAATTATGTATGTATGAATTGAAGTATAGAAATGGGTCTCTTGTTTGTTTGTAGTTCGTTACAGTGAAACGATGTAGTTGTCCACAATTACACTCTTCAAAAAAAAAACACATTGGGAATTGAGAATATAGGATTCATGTAACTGCGGCAAAAACAATACAAACATACTGTTTCTTTCCAAAAAGTCATTTTGTGTTTGTGATTGTAATATGCGGCAATTTTAACTTTTTCTCTTGTTTTATAAGCTTTTGAAGAAATAGTCGCCAAATCGTCACCAATAAAAAACAAACATGCAAAGGAAAATGCACGTGCAAGTAAGCGAAAAAGCACGTGGTGTCGAACACTATAAAAAGGCAAACGTTGTGTTTAATTTTGTCATTCCAGTTTGCCTGGAAAAGATGAAATCATCATGCCACGACAGAGTGCCGCCAATCGAAACATCGCCATAGGCCGCCTTGAAGCTGGAGAGTCGCAGTCTGCAGTTGCCCGACATTTCAGCATTCATGAGAGCACCACTATGTGACCTATTCCACCCGAGATCGCCCGGGAAGCGTCCGTCCAAGAGTTACCACCCAAGCCCAGGACCGCTATGCCCGGGTTGCTAACTTGTGTCATCGTCTTGCCACTGTCGTGGAAACTGCACAATGCATCTCTGGTTTGAGGAGAATTTCCGACCAAGCTGTCAGGAATCGATTGCGTGAAGTGGGGATTCGACCAAGAAGGTTTGTTGTCGCCCATGTTTTAAGAGACTTCCATCGGCGCAATCACTTGTGATGGTGACGTAGTGTCCGGGACTGGGTGGATCACGACTTCTTCTTCAACGGCGAGATGAGAGTCACAGTGTTTACCGTCGGGGAAGTGAACGTTTTGCCCCAAATTGTAATCGACAGGTCGACAGATTCGGTGGAGACAGTGTCATGGTGTGGGGTGTAATATGCGGCTGTTGACCAAGACAAGGACAGCAGACAATGGGTGAGTGAGTTTACGTTACGTCATGTCGGCAGTTTTTCAGCCATATTGTGTCTTGATCACGTTATACAGTTACATATGAATGTTATACAAATTTGGACCATGGGGCTTATGGTACTTACCCTTCACGCATAGTATCCCAGCTGGATTTGCGCCATCAATCTGTTAACCAGCGATTTGTAGACAGTAAAGCCAAAACTTTAAAACAAATTAAGGCTCATGACACAAAAGTTTGACTATCACTGAATGTCAGAAAATGCGTTAATTGCGTCTGCTTTTATAAACATGCACATATTAATCTGATCTTATTCCACTGTTTCGTTTGGTTTCTATCTTGTGTGTCAGGTTTTCTTGCATTACTTTTAACAAATGATTAATCATGTTTTGTCTGTTTAAATTATTAACTGTCAATTGGTGAGCAATTTTTCTCTCCACCACCATGGCGATTTGCATCCACGAGCCGATTAGCCTCGCATCAAAACACGGTGATGTGTTCTCCCTGTCAGATGACACTGGGACAAGTCATTCCTGCATTCCCTGACCAAGTAGATGTGTTGGAGACAGAGCCTGTGGGGATACCTGTTCTCAATACCTGTGGTTCCATCAGTTTCCATCATTAATGATGGATAAAAACGATAGTTGGCTTATCAAGTGTTGGATAAAATGTACTTGGCTGTAGGTTATCAGTGTCACTGTAGTTTATCAGTGTCACTGTAGTTTATCAGTGTCACTGTAGGTTATCAGTGTCACTGTAGGTTATCAGTGTCACTGTAGTTTATCAGTGTCACTGTAGTTTATCAGTGTCACTGTAGGTTATCAGTGTCACTGTAGGTTATCAGTGTCACTGTAGGTTATCAGTGTCACTGTAGATTATCGGTGTCACTGTAGGTTATCAGTGTCACTGTAGGTTATCAGGTCTTCAATGGTGTCAGTTATGTGACCTAAGTTAAGACCTGAGTAGTTCATCAGCACACACATACATGGCGGCATCATGATAGTGTTTAATAAATTAAAATTTATGTTTGTTTATTATTCTGGTTATGTTTTTACTTCTCCTACAAATTTTAGCCTCAGTTTGCACCTGTTGGAATACAGAGCCGCATCAAAAACAATTCAGTATAAGGGAAATGAAGACGTTAAATCACTTTTCGTCGGAATTTATTCACATAATAATACATATTATATTCTCTGTTGAATAGCGCTGTTACATGACGTCGTACAGTAGCACTGGTAGCTTGACCGACGACAGTACAATGAGGAAAATACTAGTATTAAATATACAAATGGTTTCGCACAAAGAAATGGTTACGTTTGCTGTGTCTTACTTCTCAGTTATTGAACTATTGTATTTCATGACAAGCTACATTTTTGTAACCTCGGGGTTCTTATAGATTATGGAGAAAACGAGAAACCATAGTTATTTCCCTTTATGATAAATCATCGAGGTTATGTCAACACACACGAATCCATGTCCTAAGGAATTCTTTAATTTGAACACCAACAGGTATACACTTTACCTTTGGAAAATCATATCCTATTCACATGTCATCAA